TTATTTGTCTTGGGGTTTTAAACGGATCTTTGGACGAAATTACTTTCACTAATTTAACTGATCTGGCATTTAGTTTTCTAGGCCGACCACTTGTCTTAGAGGCTTCCAAGATACCTTTTTGTTTATATTTATTCAATATTGCCCAAACTGCTTTACTCTTCAGCTTCAAATTTTGGCAATGCCGACTTGACGTTGACCATCTTTGTATAATTCAATGATCTTAGTTTCCTCATCGAAATAAATATCTGGACCACGCGGCATGGTCTTAAAATCACTCAACTTATTCGACAATACTTGATGAACACAAACCAATCCTCTTCTGACACGAAACTGTACTAAACTAATGTTGAAAAGAATTTGTCTACATATTTTTGTCCCTCATAAAGAAGTGCTTATATTCAGACTTGTATTGTGTTCGTTGCAAATAATGTAAAAAGAAGGAATTTAGTTTTTCTACTAATGCATTTCATTATGGAGCAATGAAGTATGAATTCGTTTTCTAAAGGTATTTAGGTAAATATTCATATTTGTCTATATACTTTTGTCCATTACTGTATATGCAACTGAATGTAAAATGTTACTATTGACGATGGTTTTGCGATTTTAGAGATAATAATAATAATATTTATTCACTCAATGTACAATATGAGTAAATAAATATAAAATCAAAACAGGCCCAATAGAAGGCATCGCCTGTACATGGACGAATAATTTAAGTTGAAACTGTAGAATGCAAATGACAAAAAAGGACAAAAATTAGCTACAGTAGATTATGTATTTAGTTGATGTTCGTATTTATGAGTTTATGAATTTCCGTCCTAGATATAGAATGTAGCGATTTTTTTAAATCTCTTTTGAAACAATTTCCGAAACGTAAATCTTTTAAGTCTTTAGGTATAATATCATAAAATTTAGGCGCTAAATAGAGATATGATCGCTACATTATAGATTTATGCGGTTGAGGAACTACTGTGCTACGAATTTTGTACCTTGTATAATGATTATGTTTAATTTTTTGGTCGGTGTTTACAAATTTATGGTAGTGAGTGATACTGTGTAAGAAATAAAGTGGGATAAAGTTTCGGTTTTTTAAATATCATTTTTAGAATAATTTTTTGAAAAACATCTAAATTATAGATATGTGAGGAACATGCAGCTCCCCATGCTAATATACCGTATGTGAGATGAGGCTCAATCGGTGCGTGGTATAATGTTCGAAGATATTTTTCTGTCAATATATTCCCAAGGTATTTAATTTTGTAGGATACAAATCTAACTTTCTTTAAAATATAATTGACATGGATGTCCCATCGTAAGTGAGGATCCAAGACCACTCCAAGGTATTTTATGTTAGGCGCTCTATTAATTTACATTTTTGATCATTAATGTTTAAGGAGAAATTTGTGTAACTTGGCAGATGTTTAGCATAAGATCCAAATGGCAAAAACTGTGTTTTAGAATAGTTAATGCTTAATTTTCTACTATTAAACCACCGAATAATTTTGATAAAATCATTTTCAATTACATTTTTCAGATCAGACCAGTCAGTGCCTTCATATAATATTGCAGTATCATCTGCAAAACTAGTTATTTTGCCAACACAATTAATTTGGAAATATCATTTAAATATATATTGAATAACAGCGGACCTAAGACAGTTCCTTGTGGGACCCCACACTTAATATACATTTCTTTACTAAATGATCCTGATATCTGCACAGATTGTGGGCGATTTGACAAATAATTTTCGATCAGTGAGTACGCGTTTCCTCTGAAACCAATTCTCTCCAATGATTCTAATAATAATTTGTGATTAACTGTGTCGAAAGCTTTCTTTAAATCAACAAAAATGCAGATTGAAGGGATTCTGTTATCAATATTTTGATGTATTTGATTTACAATTTTAGTTATTGCGTCCGATGTAGCCTTCCCTTCTGTAAATCCATATTGATTTTGGCGTAGGTATTTTTTTAAAGAATGTGTCAGTTATGTTTTTCTTACTTGTGATTGTTTACTACAATTCTTGTCTCGTTTTCAGGCTGCAGTTATACCTTCGTGAGGTCAACTACGATCGCGGCCAATAGAACGTAAGTACAAAAGCTATTATCACTAATGTTTATCCCAAAATTATAAATTCGACAAAAAAATTGATCCGGAATCAGCGGACCATGTACCAAACAACCGGCCTGTGTTTGTCGGGCTAGCAGATGGTTGGAAAATGGAATTTTCCATGTTTTCCTCACCGAAAAAGCCGTCATCTGTTTACAAGCACGTGATCGGACGCGGAACATGGGGTTAGCGGGTGATTCAGCTGGATAGACAGACATCCCGTTCCGTTTCCAGACTTCGTGGGAATAACATGCATTACGGATTCTGGATGAAAAAACGCCCACAGTTCAATCGGTTGCTGATGGAGATTCGCTCACCGTTTATTACATTTTGAAAGGCTTAAAGACGTTGAAAAAGCTTTCGCAATACAGCGTGACGTAGGCAATAACAAAAGTGAAGATGCTTATACTTGTTCATGGCCAAACTTAGCCCCAAGGTATAACAGCATTAATAATTTTTCTTCCTTATGACTTTGACCAGCTCCAACAACCTTCGCTATTCTTACTTGTAACGACAATTAGTTTGAAAAGCATTGCTTCTACACAACATTACCAATATGTCAAGTACAAAAAAGATTTATAGGTTTTGAAAAACTATCCAGTTACGTGAAAAAACGGAAAAATGGAAGTCGCTGAGATTTTATTTCTTGACGTTTCGATGACTCCTGCACGTTTTCATTTTTCTGCTTGTTTGTTCGGGAGGTATTACAATTGAAGGGGTCAGTGCAAAAAGTAGCTAAGTCCACATTTTATTGAAATTGAGCTAAGTGTCTCCATCTGTGTAAATTTACCTGTACAATACTTTGGTGATGACAGATTTGTGGAAAGAAGCGTCCTAGTGCATGGAAACCCTTCTGTAGATATTGCAATCAATCATCATTTCAGTGCAAGAAGTAACTAAGTGGCAAAAAGTTGCTAAGTCCACGGACGTATCCACTTTTTGAGTTTGACATCTTAGCATCTGTGTTCAGGTTTTATAACCTAACTTTTGAGAGAAGTGTCTTGTTGCTGCTCCAGTTTTGCTTGTTATCACGTTTTTGTTTGAGTTCCATACTAAAATGTCTGACAATGGTAAGTTCAAGTCCTCTTATCATGATTTATATTGTTGTAAGATGTTAATAAGCCTGTATTGGTTATGCTGACAAGGATTTTGAGATTATACGACTTTTTCTTTCTAGAATCAAGTAGTTATAGCGAAGAAGTATCTTCGGGGAGCGAATATGATCCTAACGAAGATAATGGGCGCAAGAAAAATCTGGCGATGGTTGGTTCAGATTCTTTCAACGAAAATGACCACATATCTGATAACTTAGACTCAGGTAATATTGGCAATAATCCAGCTCGTGTTGACGAAGATCTCGAAAATGTAATGAAAGGTAAAAAGAAGCTTCGCTCTCCAGAAAAATGGAAAAGAAGTTTGTAAAAACAAAAACTATTCAAAGAGAAAAATAAACGTCGTGATGTTGGCAACTGCAGATGTAAGTGTGGCTGTAAACTAAGTGAATTGGAGCAGATTGACATTTTTGAAAGATATTGTAGTCTGTCTAGCCATGCAGAGCAAACAATTTACTTACAAGGTTGTGTTAAAAAAGAGCTAAAATCCCGATCTCGTCAGCGTAAAGATGAAACATCGCGAAGGCGTACAGTTTTTTCCTATGAAGTTAGTAACGGAAGGAGTAAAATTAATTTATGCCAGAAGGCCTGTTTAGCAGTCCACGGGATTTTTAAGTCTAGATTAGAGAAGAAAGTTAGGACACAGGCAGAACCAGCAGATAATAGAGGTCGTCACACCAACAGGCCAAACAGAACCAAAACTGAATCTCTCCAGAAAGTGAGACAATTTATTTCCGAATTGCCAGCTCGTGAATCACATTACACAAGATCTGATAGCCGCAATAGAAAGTATCTAGACCCTAACTTATCCATTACTAAATTACATGAAAATTTCAACGCACAACACCCTAACGATACTGTATCATATGGGATTTTCGCTAAGGTGTTCAACGAAGAATTTAATGTATCATTTGCGCATCCGCGAAAGGATATATGCAATACCTGCACAAAACTCCTAGTTGATATAAAACAAGCCGCAATGAAATCAGATCAAGAACTTTTGCGGACGCTGGAAGTAAATAAAGAAGTTCATCTCAGGAAAGCTGAGGTGTTCAAAACTAAGTTGGCTGAGGTTCAGAAATCAGCAGATCCTTCAGAAATGATAATATGCTTTGACTACGAAAAGAACCTGCCTTTACCTGTAACTAATGCACAAGATGAATATTACGTCAGTCAGTTATGGCTGCACGTTTTCGGCATTCACAACTTGAAAACTCATAGAACAACAATGTATACTTACACTGAGAACTTTGCAAAGGACCAAATGAAGTTATAACATGTTTGAATGATTATATTATGACAAACAAGGATCATCAACAGAGAAAGCTAAAAATATTTGTGACAATGCATTTAGCCAAAATAAAAATCGAATTATTTTCACTTCCCTAGATCAGTTATGTAAAAATAACACTTTCAATGAAATTGAAATATGGTATCCAGTTCCAGGACATTCTATGATGCCAGTAGATAGAGACTTCGGTGCAATAGAGAAAAAAAGACTGAAGCTGGATAAGGTTGACAATCCTGAGGCTTACATTGAGCTTATCAAGAGCTGTAGGAAGAAAAAATCCATTTGACGTCGTATTTATTCAACACAGCCTTCGAACAAATGGAGATCTAGCTGCAGACGATAGAGTTATTCAAGTAAAGGATTATAAAAGATGGATTATGCCATTTGTCAAGGTTTCCGTCCCAGGAATTTCTAAAATTCGTTTTGTCAGTTTTGGAACTGGAAAATCCATTCAAACGAGAGAATCCATGACGGGAAATTGCACAAATATGTCCATCTATAAAGTGGGTATGAACAGAAAAATATCTACGAATCCCAAATTGGCATATGGCGATAGGTACCTGACAATAAAAACTAAAAAGTTTCAGTCTGTCACGAAACTTCTAAAACTAGTAACTTCCGGTGATATTGAGTTCTACAGAAGAACACTTATTAACGCAGTTGATAAGGCTAAACCCAGGCGCAATGACACTGAGGGTGATATCGAAAGTGATGTCGATGTTTATGAATAGACCCTTGTTTTGTTGTATTTTTTGGTTTTTGTGAAATGTGGTCATCATAATTTAGAATTTTTTTTGTGTCGATGTTATTTTTCGATAAATGGTATACAAGAATAATACTATTTTTGTTATGTAGCACTGTAATAAAGTGAAATAAAAGTAATAATTTTCACGTTTTATGTTTTTGTATTAATTTTTCGACCATAAAGTGGCTAAGTCCAAATTTTCAAATTTTTTTTCCTCGTAATCAAATCGCTAGTTCACATCATAGTGTAAGTCAGTATGTCCATTGAACATGTAGTTGAAATGAAAAAAATTACTAGTCATTATCAATAAATTTTGTGGATGTGGGAGACTCTTTCAACATTCAAATGGTCATATCTCCAAACTTAAAAAATGTGACTTAGCCACTTTTTGCACTGACCCCTTCAATTAGGGGTTGTATTGGGTGGAGATGTAAGCGTCTCATATGTGTAATCAGTGGCGTGCTATTATTAAGAAGCTACAGATTCCGATAATATTACGCATCTGTTAGTTATAACAGCCATAAGTTAAGTTTAAATCACGAGTACTCCTTGTGGCCGCTGGGTAATAACTGTTAGCTCCCTGCTGGTGCTTTTCTGTGCTGCTTCACAAAATTCTATTAGCGGAGTGATATACTTGAACATACGTTTTCTACTTTCCACATATAGCGTGCCAAATATAGAGGTTTTCGTTTAAAAAAAATGTCAATCTTCAAATGATCTTGGGGGCTATATCCTATTCACGTTCAAGTTCTGCTACATTTTTCTTCGTGAAACGTATTTTTCGAGAGACTTTGTCCTTTTTAAACTTTTTGGATCCCTCAAATAGCCATGAAGGTCATGACAAGCTGCTGGGCAGAGATTTGCTCGAAAATAAACTTGCCCGCCCTTCACATTTTCCGTTTTAAAATTCTGAGTCACATTCAAGATCACCCTTTTTAGATAACATTTTTCACTAGGAGCCATATTTTTCAAGGTGTATTTTGATGTTTCTATACTTTTTTTACACTCCGTATATATTACAGTTTGCCAGAAATGAATCGGACTCTGAATTGCCACGCAGACACAACTTTTCATTTTGATTTTCCAGCGTTAAACAAAAGATTCGAGAACAACAAAGTTTACCTTAATTTTACTAACAATGTGCATTGTATCGACTCCCCTGAAAAAGCAATGCCCCAATCTTCACACTTAAGCGCCTGAAATGTGGAGCGTAATGCTCTAATTTCAAGCGGCCGCTCGTCTTGAGTGTTGGCTTTAATCTCCACAAAGCTCTGTCGCGGGCACACTGAGATATTTTAATGCTTACTTAATGAGTATGCGCTTCTTGAGGTGTGTACCATGCAAGGTATACAGAGTATGGACAGTATGGCCGCTCCTGGTTCAAACCAGTTTCTCCTTGTAGCTCATTCCACGATTTTTGGCGGGCTGTATCGTCAGTCGTTCCTACAATAATTGTATAAATGTCGACTGTTCCGTGTCAGTCTTAGCGCTCTCCATTTATGAGGCTATATTTTTTTATCGAATTGTCGGCTATATAACAGATGCATGAACAATTTGACGCAAATGGATATTTGTAACATAACCTCAAAACTCAAAATAATAATAATAATAAGAATAATAATTTATTAGTCCTGTATGATCACAGACGTGATATAGGATAAGTCAGTCAGAGCACTACAAAAGCTAATAACAAATCATGTTAGTGTGGACGCACACATATTCGTACCACATATGGTATATTTCAAATATGGATACAGATAAATCAAATTAGCTTATTGATAAAATTTATAAATATAAAACATATTTGTAAACAGGGTGACTTCGAAGTTGAGTCATTTATTTTAGCAGTGAGTAGATCTGATCAAAAGAAATGTTTTTTCCTTTACCATTTTTCTGGTAAAATTAAAGTAACAAAGTTATAGCCCTTTGGAAGTTTGAGTACCGCCCTGTCTCAATAATAATATCATGTGCTCGTGTTTGGCGACAACGGATATAATCCGCCTTATCGGTTCATCGCATCGGAAACAAAAAGCGAAAGAATTTGGAACGATGTTTTTACAATTATTTTATTCAGTTCAGTTATACATACAGTCAGTGTCAGTCGGTAAAGCGTGTGAATAGTGTCTGTTGCGTGGCTCAAACGAAATAAAAAATGGCACATGTTTATGCGGATCGGTTTCCCAATCCAGTGCAACCAACCCCTCGTGTCTTTGTTAATGTAGTACAACGGGCTCGTGAATCAGGTGACTTAAGACCTCACAGGGGACCTCACGATCAAATACAGGTCCGCACTGAAATACTTGTCGGGAGGATACTTTATAAAACAAGGTAAAAATTTGTTTTTATTTTTTTTTTTATTTTTACACACATATTTTGGTTTATCTTCCTTCTACAATCATTATCTGAAAATTAATGACTCAACTTCAAAGTATATAAAAAAGCGAAATAAAGGACAAACCATTAAATGACATTCAAACAACACTGATCAAAATCAAACAAGACATTCACACATTAAAAATTCCTCAATAGAGTAAAAAGCTTTCTCCAGTAAAAACTGTTTGACTGTTCTTTTAAAAGTGTTCAGTGGTTGTGATTTCAAATTGTTGGGGAGTCTGTTGAAAAACTTAATAGCCATGTATCTAGGGCTCTCCTCCGTTCTCGCCAATCTATGCGACGGCACCTCCAATACTTGACTGTTCCTTGTAAAGTAAGCACCAGTGCTTACAGAATTGAACTTGCTCAATTGTGTTTTAGCAAGGATAAGTATATTGAGTATATAAATATACAGATGGTAAGGTTAAAATCTTTAATGTTCTAAATGAATCCTTGCAGCTAGTGAGCCTTCCAATTTTAGCTATTACTCGAACAGCCTTTTTTGGCAACACAAAAAGTCTTTGCAGCTGGGACGATGCTCCCCATGCTTCTATTCCATAAATTAGGACTGAATGGATATGTGCATGGTAAAATATCAGTAATATCCACTTCTCCACAACAAAACTTAACTGGTACAGACAGTAACAGAGTGGGGCGATCGTTTGGCTACTTTTCTCAATATGCGTATCCCATCTACAATTTTGAGATATATATATCCCTAAAAATTTAGTCGCATCCACTTGTTTTATTGATTTACCAAGCGATTTTATTAATAAAGTGTGATCCATCGGTGAGGTGGAAAGGTTAAATCTAAGGAAAACAGATTTCTGATTATTTAAGACGAGCCCATTATTGCTGAACCACTTACCTGCACCAGTCAAGCTTGAATTGGCAAGTCCTACAACAGATTCTAGGTTTTTACCATTAACAAGTAAAGAAGTGTCATCAGCATACATTACTCGGAGGGGAAGTCATTGACGTACATTATGTATAAGAGAGGACCAAGTATGGAACCCTGTGGAACACCAGTATGGTAGAAATGTTGGCTGGACTGTGCATTTTGGACCTCGACATGATGCTTTCTATCCGACAGATAGCTATGGAACCAGTCAAATGGCTTCCCTCTGATTCCATATCTATCCATTTTATCTAGCAGAATACCATGGTCAAAAGCTTTGCTTAAATCAGGAGATATACCTATGCATTTTTCTCCTTTATCCATCTTGAGATATAAATCATCTAGGAAATGAAGTACGGCATTTTTGGTTGACATGCCTTTTCTAAATCCAAACTGATTACTATTAAATAATTTGAATCTGTCAAAGAAATTGATGAGTTGCAGAGATACATATTTCTCAAACACCTTCGAGAAGGGACTAAGAAGTGAGATAGGTCTGAAGTTACACATATCAAACCTATCTCCAGACTTAAACAGCGGCCTAATTTTTGCAATCTTAAGTTTGTCGGGAAAAATTCCTTCTTCGATGGAGCAGTTAATTAAAAAAGCAAGAGGATGGCAAACGATGTCAGATGAAAATTTTAACATGTTAGTGCTAATTCTGTCTGCGCCAAAAGAATTAGAACCTTTAAGATTTCTTATAATAGCTGATATGTCATTTGCTACAGCAGGTCTGAGATAAAATGAATGAATGTTCCTATCTATATTAATACTATTTCCCACTTTGTTATCTACGTATAGTTCTGTAATACTATTAAAATGTTGCATAAATTTATCGGCAACCTCTTTTGGTTCTGTTATTAATTCATCTTTCACTTTTAATTTAATTACTTCATGTCTAGATGCATTTTTATTCTGTTTTATTACATTCAGAGCGGTCCTCGTTTGATTATTAGAATTTAATATCAATGCGTTATAGTGTAAACGTTTTGCTGCTTTTAAAACTCTCGAATATACTTTTTTATATTTCATATAATGGTCCATCATAAATATGTCTCCAGACCTAGACAGATCATACAGGTAGTGCAGCTTATCTCTTGATATCAATATACCTTTAGTTACCCATGGTTTTTCTGGCTTTACATGTTCTAATAGTTTTTTGAATTACTGGAAATGCAATATCAATATAATACTGATATGTTTGTAAGAAAGCATCAAAGTTCTCATTTATATTTCCAGTCGAATGGTAAATATGATCCCACGTCTCTTGACTTAGAAGAACTAGAAAGACGTCGATGTTAGCTTTATTGTGTATGTCTCGGTATTGGTAGGATATTTTCGGTGGTTGCTCTTCTTTTTGGCAGTTCAATGATAATAATTGAGCAAAGTGATCACTAATATTGTTGTTTACCACAGCAGTTTCACACTGTACATCCACTCCCACACAAATATTGTCGATACAATTAGAGCCTCGCGTAGGTTGTTTAATGACTGGTTTTAGGGAATATGAATTTAGTAAGTCCAACAGACCACTCAAATCAGAAGAACGCTTATTAAAATTAATATTAGAATCACCACAAAGAACAATATTACATTTTTTATATTTACGATTTAAAATATCTAAAAGTTCATCAAGCTTTTCTAAGAAAATTTTAATATCGGCATCAGGACTTCTGTATAGAGAAATTATTTATTTAAAATGCTTATCTTCTGAA